CTATTGGTATGGACTTAGTGAAGGACCTGCCTGTTTAACTCACAACTTTTCAAAACATCTGCCAGCAGTTCAGTGAATTCAGCAGCCAAACATCCCAGGATGCTCATCAGCTGGAGATGCTGATTTGTTGCTATCCATGCTTTCAAGTGTTCCCTTATCTGCTCTACATCAACAGCCAGGGTGCCAAGATGCTCATTACTTCCTAATGGTCCATATTCCATTTCTATATTTTTCTTCTTAAAGACCAATTTAAAAAACAAAACAAAACAAAAACAAAACAAACAAACAAACAAACAACAAAAAACCCCAACGAAACTTAAGTAGCTCAGCCATTTTAGAATCACCATTGATTCCAGCTGTCTCCTAATTTATTAATGGGCTTACCCTCTCTATCGTATTTCTTCCCCCTGATATACTTGGAAGAGTTCTCATTATTTATTGTAGCCCTTTGGGCCAACATTTATTCCTTCTGCTTCCTACCTACACTGAAAGCTGGAAAGGTTTCTCCATTTGCCTGCTGGCCTCTTCCCCATAGCTGGATGAGTTCAGACACCTAAAAGATTTCAGATTTGAAAATGGAGGAAGTTCTGTGTCATTCCTATTCGAGTCACACCAACACCAGCAGTCCTTGGAGATCAAAAACTGCACAGGTGAGCATGTTCTAGTATCTCAAGAGCATATTTTAAGAGCAATTTATCTAATACAGACTCTGTTACCATTACAAGGGCATTGAAGAAAAAGCACAAGAAATCTGACAAAATTATTAAATTAATATTAATATTAAATTATTAAAAATAATTTGAGTCTCTAGAAGACTCCATGAGCTCCAACCAGAACAAATAGTCAAGTTCAGCATTATAAAGTTTCCAGGGGAGCTGGACACATAATTTCCCTGCTTTCTCTCTGTATTTTGGGAGAATCTCCACCTGTGAGGATTGTTGCATTGGCTGCTAGGATTTACTAGATTTTCTTTCTTTTTGGATAAGCAAATTTTTCATAAGAGTGAAGAAGGGAAATCTACTCCTCCCTGGCCACAATCAAGTTTCCCATCAATTAGGCAAATTGGTGGGAAATGACATGAGGTTTTACGTTTTCCCACTTATGGTTCCAAAAAAGTATTATGAAAGCAATCCCTCAAATTGATATCCAAACTAACCTTACCCTGTAAAGCACTCTCAGGAAAAGAAGGTAAAATTGCTAGAAAGTTTTACCAGCAACAGAAAATCAGCCAAATACAAAAATGGTTTTTAAGATTAAGCAAGGACTGTCTTCCAACAAAGTGTATCACACAGACAGGCAATGAGAGAACACGCAGGTCAGATTAACATTTACAAGCCCATTCTATAGAAAAATTATTTCTACAAAGATTTTAGGTAAATCTCTCTAAATTTCCACATTGTAAAGTAAATGAAGAAGAAGAAGATGTTTATGAAGGCACAAATAAAAGGTGTAGTTGTGCACAAGCGTGTATGTATGCACACCTGTGTGCAGCAGAGCATTTTTGCATAGGTGCTTGTGCATACACAAAGAGATTAGCTGTGCTTTCCTGTTGGTCTTCCTCTACTCTTAGTGTGCAGAAGTGACAGAAAAGGCTCTCAAATGGCCTTTCACCACCACACAACCAGTCATGCCAGGCTATGTACAGACTCTGCTTTCAGCCTGACTCAGATTTAGAGTAAGGTGACTAAATAATCACTTTCAATTGTGTTTATTTCCATTTTTATCCAAAATTTTTCAAGTTTCATCTGCAGAAACAGGAGTGTATTACAGTGAGCAGCAATATTAATCCCAAGGGAACACCAATCCCTGGGGATTGCCAAGGCCCTTCTTCTTGTTTAATGAATGTGCTGTGACAAATTAGGCAAATTGTGTACCTGCATTTCCTATGAATATCCCTGACCATCTATTCCCAGCTGTATTTTCTATTTAAAGTTGGCAAGATGCATGCTCAAAGAGATCACAGATACTTATCCCTAGCACGGAGTACAAATATCAGTTCTCCTGAGATAATTCAGTTTATCTGTTATCAAAATCTGTAGCACAGTAGCACCTAGATGTCATATAGGGCTGAATGAACACACACTAAGAGGCAGCTCCTATCTAGAAAAAAGGAAGTCACACAAATAGAATCACACAGAATCACTAGGGTGGAAAAGACCTTCAAGATCATTGAGTCCAACCCATGCCCTAACACCACAACTAAACCATGGCACCAAGTACCACATCCAGGCTTTTTTTTAAACACATCCAAGGGATGGTGACTCCACCACCTCCCCAAGCAGACCATTCTAGTACTTTATCACCCTTTCTGTAAAAAACATGTTCCTAACATCCAACCTATATTTCTCTTCACGCAGCTTAAGACTGTCCTCTTGTTCTGTCAGTGGCTGCCTGGAGACTGGCCCCACCTGCCTACAACCACCTTGTAGGAAGTTGTGGAGTCTGAACAAACAAACACACAGAGGGGGAAAACAGAAGCATAGAAAGCCTCCCTCCTCTGACCAGGCATACACAGAATGTCAATGGTTGAGCTACTAAGGCAGAATTCCTGATCCCAAGATCCACAAGCATACCATGAACAGCTAAAAGCTTGAGGAGCACTCTGAGTAGACACTCAAAACTCACTACAAAACAGGACAGATCACCAGCTTCCCTTCCCTGATGCTTCTGTTCTTCACTGTATCAGCACTGGATGACAGAAATTCCAAATATAGCAGCTCAGGAATCTCTCGCCTATTCCCTACTTGCCAGCAAAAAAGCTTGTTTTGATATTTGCAGGAGCGAATTAATTTGGTATTCCTGATAAGATCTCAGACACACCCCAATGACACTTACACCCACAGCCACAGAGGCTGATAACATCATCAGCTGACTTCTCAGCTCAGCAGCAGTCTTTTTCACCCGTTTCTAGGATTATGAAATACATATTTTGTGTGGCTGGCTAATACCAAAGTTACAAAATCTATGTAATTAAGATTAATTTAAGAGCTGGATTGGATCAACTTGTGGCATCCACCCATTAATTAAAAGAAACACTTCGAATTTTAAGTGGCTGCTTTAATATTTTACTCTGTGCTGGCACTGTTAACCTCAAATTGGCAGGTGAGATGTGAGTGCCCAGGTGTGGAAAGGCTGGGAGCCATTGGTTCGGGAACACTGCCTGCCCCAGGAGACAGGTGCCCTCTTCTGGAAGGTGCCAACATACTACCTGTATGGACTACTGGAATCCCTGCTTTCATGAATACCTGTACATACACTCCTGGCTAAATGCACACAAGCATAAAATCTATGTACATAAGTTGGTGTAACTGTATATATGACACACATCTTTCTGATGACTCATAAGTTGTACTTAGATGGTTACCTGTAATGAAGAAATTTTATCTATTACATGAAGGTTTATAAAAGTTTGTGCTTTTTACTACATATGCATATGTATATTAGTTCTGCAGAAGATTATGTAATGTCCACATGTGCTAGATTTTATGAGCCATGCAAAAACAACACTGAAATGATTAAGTGCTCAGAGCTGTAGGGAAAGTATTTAAACCAAATTGAAAAAAACAGTGACAAACGTTCTGCACAAGTTTATATGGATGGCTTTGTAGGTTCTTTAAGCATCCTGCCTGCCCAGCTTGTCTAATCTTTCCATAGAATCTGACCATTTTTATTAAGTATTTGCAGTGTCCTAGCATCTAAATTCTTAAAAAATCTGACATTGCCTCTTTTGTATAAACAGAAAGGGAGTCTACAAACTGCCCTGAAGAGCTCACAGTTGATGGTACAGAGTGTTAGAACCATACTGTGTGCTGAAATGTAAAACTTCAGGTCCAAAGATTACCTTTCATTTGGAATGGATCCATTTACCCCTGGGACTGGAATGAGAAATAGCACAGATTTGGAATACCCTAATTTTTCAATTTGGCTATGTTGATCACCTCATGCATGCATGGGAATATGAACAAAGATACATATATGCACCTTGGGACATACTGATGCGTATGCGCATAAGCACATTAATTCAAAGAGGAAGTTAATTTGATAAGATTATGTACATGCACATAAAGTGTGTCAAATGTCCAAGGATGTGGAGATATATGCACATATATACAGAAATTGCATTTAGATGACCATATGAACATGTCTATGAAGTCCTTTAAGCAAACTTGTCAGAGAAGACACAAGACTCTGTGTAAACAGCTGGAAAGATACTTAAGACCAAATGTTTTTTCTTACTGTCATGTTACAAAAAGTTAAGAATCTCTTCCAAATCCATATTTTGTCTTGGATTCTACAGCTGCCGAGTCTAGATGTTTTATGCATTTTTTATAATCTGAATTGCTCTCATGCAAAGACATAGCTTTAATTGATTTACAACAAAATCTCTCCCTTTTCTCTTTGTGACAGGGGGAAAAAGTTCACCCCAGCACAGTATGCTGTTCTTTTCAGCATGTCCTGTTGGGTACAGTTAGACTGGTTTCTTCAAATATATCCCATCATTTAACTTACAGCCATGGCTGAATCAGAGATCAATAAATCCCTCAAAACAGCTTCTGCTGGATGAGATGTAAACCAGCCACTGTCTTTCTACCTTATCCTCTATCATTCCATCAGCACTCAGCGCTGTCTAAGTACAAGGCTTTGATCAAACTAGTAGTTTCCCTTCCAGACATCACCACGATCCATATCCATCTATCCTTCAGCAGGGCAGGCTCCAACACCCCTTATTAGTAGCTTTGTATTTGCAGAATTGTGGCAAGTACAGGCTGGATAACAGCTTGCATATGTGTAATATAATCTAAATAACTGAGCGAGTCCTGGATTTAGTTTAGTTTACAGATTGGCTATTCCCAATTCTATTATCCTTTCTCATTGCATCTTCTGACAGCCTGATCAAGAGAGGAAATCCAATCATTTTCATTTCTGATACTAAAGCAAGTTACAAACAAATAAAATAATCTAATTTCATCATCATCATCGTCTGACAGGTATAACCTTACCTGCCAATGAAAGGCAGCAACATCTGGAGTGCAGTATAAAAAATGTTCAGAGCATGGCAAAACTGCAGTCCAGTGTGTCTGCAAGGAAAAGGAAGAATTTGATTAATGTGTTGTCCTGCACCAACTCTAAATCAATTAACAGATTTTATTTTTAAATAGGTACATCTGTAGTTTTACATCTTATCTATGAAATCAGGCTAGGGGTGAGAGGACTTGTTTGATGTTACCAGCAAGCAATCCAATAGTAACTAGAAGTAAAATCTAGAATTAAGCAACATTGCACTGTCTGTATTTCTAGCATCTCTGCTCAGTTATGCTTAAGAGTACAATGAGATCTTTAACAAGCAGAGATGGCCAGAAGGCCACCCAAATGAGCCTGCAGAAACTGGTATCACTAATAATCACACAAGTTTCCATGGTGAGGATTATAACATAGCCACCTCCTCTGACACCAGCAGATCTCTGCCCTGCTGATAAGCACACAGCCTACCTGCACCTGAGGCCAGGGCATGGCAGCAGATTTTGAGGTGTCAGTGTACTCTACATGTGTTCTCATTCTTGAGGAAAATGTTCATGATTATTTCATTTTGTGGCAGTAATGGAAAATACATTTTAGTGCTTGTGTTATGCATTTGCAATTCATGTTCCCATACATGATTACATTAAGTCTGTGTTCTGTCATTTTTGATGAATGTAGCTTGTTTTCTGTAAAAAACGGACTCTGGGATGGAAAGTGACAGAAGTGAAGCTGTAACAAAGGATGATCAATTTTTTATGTCCAGCATCAAATGTGGGGAAAGTCGCTGAATGTCTCTCTGAAGCTGGGGACTCTTCACTCACAGGCTGAAGTATGACCCATTCCTGTCACCATACTGCTTCTGGTAGTCACAGGGCAGCAGTGGCTAATACTGCCTTCTTCTTTGCCAGAGTTGATAGCTTTTCATTAACAGGTCAGTGTCTGAGAGCAATCTGGCCTCTGCAAACAGATGTATACAGGTAAAGAGTGAGCAGCAAAGCAGGCAGGAGTGGGTGAGTTTGATTCACTTATTAGCACTTAGTAACATCTCTGATTCTCTTGTATGTCATGCTGAAAAACTAACAGAGACTCCAGTCTCTCCCAAAGTCAAAAAGCAAAGAAACAGGAGAAGAAGAAAGGCATGAAGAAGAGAAGTGATTTGCTCAAAGATAACTGTTGGAGGCTCCATTGGAGAGTATCAGGAGAGCTGGAATAAAGGTGGCAACCCAAAGGACTTACTCAACAGTGACTTCAGACTGGAAAATCAGAGTAATGCATAGGCTGGAGTTTTCAGCTGATCTTATTCAGACTGAGACCTCAAATAAGAAAAATTGATCCCACATATTTGTGGGAACATAGGGTTCTGCTGATGGCAAAACTGTTAGGCTTGTGTGTTGTTTTTGTTCAGATGGTCATGAGTCAGATCTTGACCTCTGAGACTCATCAATAACTACCATGAACCTAGGGAACTGACAAAGGAGTTTTCCTGCTTCATAAAAGCTGAGACTAAAGCCTCTTGACACACAACTCAATCTTTTTCTGCTATTCAAAATTCTGACTCAGGCTACAGTGGAAGAAGTTGTAGGGCTGCTGGATTTGCTTCTGCCCCCCTGCCTTCGGGACATGTGCTCACCATAAGCAGATGGTTTCAGAGATTAAGTTCTAAGGAGGCATTAGCAGGAATATCTGCACACAGCACCCCAGCAGCTGCCTGTGCTCACACCTGTTCTAATTTTCACAGCTTTCAAAGAAACAGTGTCCAAAGTTTTTTTTCCTTGTTCCTTTTAAGGAAAATAGGAACTTTGAGGCCAAATGCAGAGCCAGCTTCTACAAACACTCAGGGTTTCTTCCCTTTGTAAACAGATTCCCTGGAGCTTCACCTCAGTGCAGATTTTTAGCTATCATAGTCAGGTTCTGAAAGAGAATGCAGCTATTGCCCTAATCCAGAAATTACAGTAATAAAGAGAGCTGCATCTTAGGTAGAAGTCAAAAGCCCTTATCACAGGAAAGGAAACTCAGAACTGTTCTCTATGTTTCAGTATTAAAATAAAAATTACTGGATCACAACTGAAAGACTAAGGGATCCACCCTTCACACTTCAGTGTACCTCTTTGGTCATGTTTCTTCTGGTCATCAAATTTAATTCAGAGAGATGAATAAGAAAAGCAGCAGGTATCACTAGGGACTCTAACAGTGGTCTCCAGCTGCTGGGCACATGGTTAAAGAATGTAACCCCATGTTCTGCACTACTGAGAATGGTGTCTTGTGACATCACTAAATGAAGCTGGAGATGCTAAGTTTGAGTCCCCTTCTGCCAGAAATGCAAAAGGGATCTTCCTTCATGAGAGGACTTTAGGCACAATGTAATCTGGCACTGGGAAATGCAGCCAGCCCATAAAAAATAACAAAAAACATCATCAGCAAAGCAATCGTGCTGGAATTTCTTCTTGGTTTAGCCATACTTTCCAGTTGCATGCCATCAAAAAGGTAGGTATTTCACAGCCTACTGTGCTACTCAAATTGCCACACAACAGATAGCAGAAAAACATTATATACATACAATAATGACTACTCAATAAATTTGGTTGTACCTGTCCATGGGAAGCTAGGAGATGAGGAGCTCTTCTTGAGCATTTGTGATGTATAAATTGAATTCCTAGTGCACATAAGCACTTACAAATGTACCTAGCCCTACTTAGAGCAAAAGCATTTATGTGCTTGGATGCATGTGCTTCCTGCTATTGCTGTTCATAGTCTGTGCATGGTAGCATTGCAAGTTCTGCCTCCTGTTCTGATAACTGAAGCAAGTCTGATAACAATTAGTTAACAATCTACTGAGCAGTGGTATGTCTGTCACCAGGTTTGGAATGAAAGATGCTTATCCAAAGTGATCCTCAGACCTTTTTCCAGACCCAGTGTAACACCTAACCTCTTCTACAACAGCCAGCAGGAATGTCCTTCGTCTTCATCTCCTAACACAGCATGATGTACTGAGATGTAAACATGAAATGGATGCTACTGGTAGCCAAAAACATTCTAGGCAAAGGAGTAGAAATGAGAGAAAAGAGAGATAGAACAAAAAAAACCCCAAAAAGACCCAAAAAACCCCAACCAACCAAACCAAACCAAACCAACAAAAACAAAAAACAAACAAAAAAAAACCCAACAGAAAAAAAAAGCAAAGATTCAGAGAGGATAAGAAATTTGATGTTCACACAGTCAGGAAAAAGGAATGAATGTGGAGGGAGCAAAGATGGCCTAAGATGCCCCTTACTTGCCCATGGCATCATGCTACTACACTATCCCACTGATCCAAACTCTCCTCACAACTCTGCCAGCAGCACTCATTACTTATTAGCAACGTGCCATCTGCCTCCACCACTGACAAGGTCCCAACCTTGGAATCAATACTGATCTGTTGGTGACATCTGTTGGGACAGGCCACAGATACCAGTGGCTTTTCACCAAGCGCACTTGTTTTAAACAATGCTCAGCTGGTACCCAGTTCAGCTGGTGAGCACTGGGCTCACCCTCTATCCCTCCATTGCCGGCACCCCTTGTGAAGGGGATGCCAGCCGGCTCCCCACCCCAGCCTGCATGGTAGGGATGCCAGCCAGACACACGTGCCCCCCGCCACAGCCAGGACACCCCACACGAGGGGGTTCCAGACGGCTCCCTGGGCCCCCCACTCCAGCTGGAACGCCTCGCACAGAGGGGTTGTTTTCTGTAGAAAACAAACTCTGTGGTGAAAAGTGATAGAAGTGAAGCCGTAACAAAGGACGACCAATTTTTAACGGCCAGCACCAAATGCAGGGAAAGTCGCTGAATGTCTCTCTGAAGCTGGGGACGCTTCAGTCGCGGCTGAAGTGTGACCCATTCCTGTCACCATCCTGCTCCTGCTCCTCTCCAGCCGCGGCGCCCGGCGCGGACGGGGCTCAGCGCTCCCGGGGCCCCCGCAGGGCCAGAGCGCCACCTGCAGGCCGCGAGCGCTCCACTGCGGGCCTGGTGAGCAACGGGAGCATGAGGGCTTCACCTGCTCCACCAACTGCTGCGGCAGGATGATAGTCCTGAAAAGAGAACCGGCTGATTGCAATACGAGTGGCATCGAGCATCTTGTCAGAACAACGGAGAATAAATGGAAAGGGACGTTAGGGAGGACAGGAAATTCCTGCCGCTCTGTCATATGTGGTTATGCGGGGTCTGTGATTAGGCAGCTGTGAAAAACCTTGAATACTTTTTGCTGACAGCTTTTCCCCTGAGTACCTTACTGCCTCCTCTGACACCTTTTGGAGAGCTGTTGGGGCTCTTCTGGAGTTTGCATCTCCATCTGCAAGTCCACTCATCGAGGTGTGCATTCCCCAACAGTTTCCACCAAGCTGAAGTGCTGTATGCCAGTGGGCCTCCAACAAGTGCCAATATTCCATTCCCTAACACACAGATCCAGGTGCTCCCTCATACTCAACATACTTGAAGAAGGAATACACCGAAAAACTGGTGAAATCATGGTTTGCCATACACGGTTCCCTTCAGATAAGACTTTGTTTCTACTTTTTGACATTTGGAGAAGCTCAAAAGCAGCCTGAAAAAATCATTAAAACTCCAGGTGCACATGGGCATAATTCTTGCAATAATCTTCCTGACCCTGCTTTGTTTCTTAAAGAGCACTTCCTATCCTTTCCTCCTCACATGAGCAAATGGAAGGTGGACTATATTTGGTATCAGGATTACAAATATATTTTGCAGATCAACACAACAGCCTGACAAAAGAGCTCTAGAACTGTTAGAGATGAAAGTGGTTCCTGCCTGTCAAGGAAAGGAAGATCTGTCTTACTCTCCCACAAAAATGAATTAACAGACCTTTAAATTGTGGCAGATAGAATGGCAACATCTCATCTGGGTTAGAGTTTTCTCCCATCAATTACATGTTTTGTGAAGTCCTGGGACTTCACAGGTTTGATGTGATCCTGAGGCAGCTGCTGATGCTTTGTCAGATGTATGAGATAAAAACAGTGCCAATGAAACACATTAAATTTCTTTAGGAAACAGTTCTAATGAATTTAGGTGAAATATGGAATATAAGCAAAAACTCAGCCAGATACAGCGTGGCCTGGAGAAGTTCCGACTGCTTAATTAGGGATTGTAAAGGTGAGCAGACCGTGTGCCTCTCGGCAGACCTTTGCCCTCCCTCCATCATCAGGGTGGACAGATGCCGTTAGTCAGGCCACGCCTTCATCCCCAGCCAACAGTGACTCCCAGTCCTATATAATGATTTATAAAACATTGCAAGGGTACTGTGTGATACTGCCAGCATCACCCAGTGACATGGCCACGTCCTCCCTATTGGACACCAGACCTCCACTTCTCTCTTCCCCTATTCACAATTTTCTCACATGTGATAGCAATGCATTGAACAGAACTGGCAAGCCACCCTCAGGACCAGCAGAGTCAATCCCACACCAATGCCACTGGGATTTACTGCTCTCCTAAGATGTTAGCACTACTATTTTAGATTCCAGCGCTAGATCCTTTTAATATCCCTTTCCATCATGGTCTCTGAGGACATTGGTGAGAGAGAATGGCCATATAGCCTGGGCAGAGGGATTAGCGTTAGGAGCCCAAAGACCCAGCTCTGTCACTGGGACTCTGCCATGATGACTTCATCCACCAGTGCCTCAGTTTCCCCATGTGTAAAATGAGGATAATGATAATGACCTACCTCAAAGGGTGTGGTTTGCAGATGGGTTAGCGACCAGCACTACAGAAACACCCCCCATCAATAAACAACTCAGCCTGGTACTGAAGGCATCGAGGGCACTGCATCCTTCCCTCACTGCACAGGAAAAAACTGCTTGCCAGATCTCTCCTGCCTGCGACTGCGCAAATGACCAGCCAGCTCCATCCTCATCGAACCATCCTGCGTCTATTTGATAAAGACGAATATTGCTTTTTAAATAAATATA